TACCCACCGGTACTTAAATCCACACGGTGCGTTCAGGTGTCCTTGATCCTGGTAATCTGGAGGAGCCACAGACGGTTTCCCACACAGTCAATAATCAGACAACAATTATTCAGTCATCAATTAATCTGCCTCTTATTTATCACGTGTGTGAAATGATACAAAGAGAAAATCTAATAATGATAATACATCTATTGACAGAGTACACAACAAACAAATATTATTGTGTTTAGCTGAGAATCAAATCTACCAGTTCTGGTTTCATTGTTTTCATATTTCTATTTAAGTGTCAGTAGATCAGGACATTAAGTTTTCCTCTGTGATGCAAACATCACGTGTAATTGTCTTGTTTATCTGGATTGTGACATTAAATTAAATGTTTTATGAAACTGGAGACAAACTCTGAACATATTTCCAGAAAGAGTTCAATGACCCAGAGAAGCTGTGTCCCCCTCAGCTCCCTGTGTTCAGTGGGTTGTGTGGTTTGTTGGAACGTTTGTTGAAATCAGAGTTTTGGCACCAAAAACCAAAACAAAACCAAAAGAAATCTTTAACATGCATCAATATTGAGTCTCCGACCTTTGGATCACACTGCGCATTTAAAGTCTCGATGGCTACTGAACATTTCTCAATACTTCTATTGATTCATTTGTTCGTTTGATAACCACACGTGGTGTTTGCATACCAGTGCATGATACTAACGAAGGAGGCAACATCCAGTGACTCATATCAAACAGGTTTTTATTATGTGAACCAGAAAATTCACACTTTCCTTTAAAAACCTCAGTGTTGGGTCGTTTACATCTGCTGCAGTCGTGATTAGCACGTTAAGGCCGGATCATTTAATTCTTACTCTATTTATATTTCCTGCTTGTTAATGTTCTTTTCTCTGACAGAGACAATCAGAGCGGAGAGACCGACCGAGGAGACAAGAGCTTCAGCTGCGGTCACCCAGTGTGGGGCCTCGCCTTCGGACCAAGACCCCCAAAATCCGTCGCCGCTGCACAGCCAGTGAACACATCGTCCAAAGGGAACAACAGCCTGCTCCTGGCCACAGGCTTGGAGAACGGGGTCATCAAAATCTGGAATGTCTTAACAGGTGAGGACTTGACTTCTGCTGGTGAGGATGTGGTCTCTCTTCCGTGCTCAGATTATAAATGACTTTCTTTGGCACACGCTCGTTCAGGTGATGCTGTGTTTGACCTCCACGGCCATGAAGGGGTGGTAAGGGACCTGGTCTTCCCTCAGAACGGGACGCTCACGCTCATATCGTCCTCTCGAGACAAAACCTTGAGGATTTGGGACCTGGCTCAAAAAGGTATGAGCAGTTTGAGTTGTAACAAGTCCAGACACACCACTTCTTCAGAGAACGCAGCCCGAGAGACACTCACGTCTTTGTCCAGGGGAAGTCTGTGATAACACACGACTCCACTGTTTCACAATGCTAACACACTTTCTCTCATGTAGGAATTCGCTGTTGTTTACATTCCAGGCGGACACAGTTTTATTTATTCTACATCCTGAGATATCGTTTGTTTTTATGATGCATACTTTGTTTAATTTTCATTTTATCCAAGAGATAAAATCAGCTGCTTATTCTTTTCATTCCTGCGTCGACCATTTCCCTGAACTTATCATGTTGTCGTATTGATTTCCATTGTTCCCTTCAGCCCAGCGTTTCTTTAAGACGCACCCAACAGCTCAGAAGCTTTAAGCGTCTCACCTGTGCACATTGTAACACCTGTTTAAGGTGTGTCGTCGTTCGGCTCTTATTGTTTAAGTGGTGTTCACAAACATACAACTGATACAACTCCACTGTCACAATGCAAACATTCTTCTTCTCATGTGGTTAAAGGGAATAGCTGCTGTTTACGCTCCAGGCAGGTTCTGTTTTAATTAATTTATTAATTATTAATTTATTATACAACCTGAGATATCTTCTGTTTTTATGCTGCGGGTGATTTTAATTGAACTTTGTACATTTGCACGTTGAGCTCGTTAACTTTATTCTGTTCATTCCTGCGTCGACCAACCTTATCCTGTCTCCACGGTGACTTCTGGTATTTCCTGCAGCCCAGTGCTCCATTAAATAATCCGCTCAGAAAGTTTGAAAGTTCATTTCCAAACTTTCGAAACTTTTTGTTTTTGTTGAGGAAAAAACAACAACTCCTTATTGGTGAGTTCAAAGACATTTGTAAAAAATCTGCCATTCGAAGACTTGAGATTCAAAGAAATCTTATGTTTTAGGATTATGTCATGTCATGTTTATTTCCTGACAGTCTACCTCAGTGTGTCGTAATAAAATTAGTGGCACGTTGCACACGTTTCTTAATGCGACAATTAATAAGGTGACCGATTCCGGAGCGTCCGTGAAGTACTCTCCGGTCACCGACGTCATACGCCTTCGGGCCAGTGGCGCAATGGATAACGCGTCTGACTACGGATCAGAAGATTCTAGGTTCGACTCCTGGCTGGCTCGAATTTTATTTTTTGCTTCAGACTCTTTTTGTCTTTACTTGTCACTTAGACATCGATGTAATAAAATATTTTATTAACTAACTATGAAGATTACAAGGCAGCAATTTCTGATTTAATGAGGAGCATGTGTAGAATTGAAAAGTGCAAAAGTGATCGATTTATTCTTCCGTTGATCGGAATAATTGTTTAAGCTTGAGATAGAGAGGACTTTGTTTTGAAGTTATGATTGACTTAATTATCTTAACACATATTACAACTAAGTGTAAAGATTTTAAATATGTCCATAAAATAAAACCCTTTAGTTTGAAAACTGTCTCATTGAACAAACTCTTCACATTTCAAGTTCTCCAACGATACTGGTGCTGTAGTGTTGTCCCTGAGTTTTAAGTAGCTTTGAATTTATAATGAGTAAATGTAAATATATAATAATAATAATAATAATAATAATAACAATGTTTATTTATGTATCACTTCCTAACAAAGTTATTCACAAAATCCACAATTGAACAATAACTTAAATACAATGGTATAAATTAAATGCAGACTGTTATGACTGAAAGCTGTGGATATACTGTATCTGCAGTGACTCTGCTCTGTTTATGAAAAAGTGTTGAACAGTCTGAGTTTGTAAATCGTGTTTCTCTCCCTGCTTCTCTCTGTGTGTTCATCCCGTCGTCTGTGTTTAATCACCTTCAGTGACTGTAAAAAAAAACATGGCGACCTCCGTAGAGAGGATCCGCTCCTGATGTAAAGTTAAAGTATTTAAATATAAAGGGTAAAGAAAACAACAGTTTGTATAATTTAGATGAAACACACAAGGGAAAACATCACTAGGATTATTTTATATTCAATTTCTGTCAATAAATTCCTTTCACTTAAATCTTACACACTGGACCTTTAAGTGTTTGAACACATGTGCTGTGTGTTGCAGGTAAAAAGGTGCAGGTGCTCTCAGGCCACAAAGACTGGATCAGCTGCTGCTGCGTGTCTCCAGACTGCAGCATGATCGCCTCCGTCGGGAGGTTTGACAGAGTGAGTGAGATCATCGGAGAAGTTATAAAAACCTGCAGAGCAAAGAGACACGTGCATCAGAAGCAACGATAAGAGATTATTTTATTTACTCTTCTTGTGCATGTTTGGTATTTTATGTATTTTTAGTGTCTAACAGTTTGAAACTCATCTGGAAAGTACAAAGATTTTTAGTTACGCCAGAGTTTTCATTCTCACCTGAATGCTGTAAGTTTGTGTAAAAATGTGAACTAAAGGTTTTTATCTCTCATCTTTTACTTGTGTAAATACTCAGTGAATTTCAGATTCTGATCACAAGCCTGTTTCATGTGATCATGAGGGAAACATTTCTTTTGATAGTGAATAATCAGTGAAGATTTTATCGTATGTGCTGTTTGTATCCAGCAATGACGTAACTGAACATGAAGCTTTTCAGACGTTTCATCTGTGATATAAATCTGTCGCTCGATGATGCACAGATCTGCTTCTCTTCATCCTCGCCTGTGTTGAGTTTCTGGGAGACGTTTAAAGCAGCAGGAACACTTTTACCAGACCTCGACTGTGACATGTTGTCACTAGAAAGAGGAACAGACGACATTTCACCGAGCAGAACCAGACTTTAAGATCACAATCACTTTAAACTGTGTTGTTGCTGTAAATCAAATCAATGAATCTGCTTAGTGTTTGACGGCCAGGAAACTTTGAGCCTTGTTGAAATCCCTTTAAATAAAAAAAATGATAATCCTCACAGCAAAGTAACCGCTGCTCCTTGTCTCCCTTCATCAGATGGTTTGTCTGTGGAGTCTACGCTCCTACACGTTCATCAGAAACCTGACCGGAGGCACCAGGAAGACCTTGTACCTCCTGTCTTCCTGTGACTTCTCTCCTGACGGGGCGCTGCTCGCCACGGCAGCCTTCAGCGGCTCCAGCTGGTGGATCGACCTCTGGGACCCGTACACCGCAGAGAAACTGGCCACTCTGGTGTGAGTTTACGAGACCCCACTTTTACTGAACACTCTGGTTTGGTGTGTGCATTGTCCAGGATCACAGTAAACCGCTGCAGCCACGGACTGTAAATAAACATGGATGACGCGTCCCCACTTCCTCCCATTATCCAGAAATATCAAAATACTCCAGAGTCCGGATACAAACAAACGGTGAGGTCGTCATTTGGAGCCAGAGTCCGATCAGCGAGAAGAACGACAGAAAATGACAGAAACCTTCTTTAAAGCGTACTGAACCTATACTGCAGCCAGCCACCAGGGGGCGATCAACACTGATGTACTGTATGTTCAGGTTTCAGATAAGTTTGGCTTTAATAGTTTTTTCACGATGATATAGAACTGAGGTGAAACGTCATGATTGGCAGCTGAGACTGACTCGTGATCGGCTCCAAATGACGGCAAAGGTGCAAGATGGAGAAACGTCGTCCATCTTTATTTAAATCTTTAAATCTTTAAAATTATTAATGCACAGATTTATTTCAAGCAGATAAATAAGTTGAAAGCTGAAAACCAACACATCACTGACACTGTTATTGTACGATGCTTAAAAACTCGTCCCTATAAAACTTTTCTTTCCTCCACAGTGACTACTTTGAAGATTACGGGCAGAACCAGATCTCAGCAATACAATTCTCTCCCAACGGTTTGCACCTGGCGATCGTGACGGACGGCAGGTGAGCGGTTCATCACGTCGTTGCGTTGAACGTTTCTTGCACTGGACAGAAACTGACTTCAGACACGTGTGTGTTTGCAGGGCTCTTCTGATCTGGGAGCCGGGAAAGAGAGGGATGGTGATGCAGACCAAAGCAGACAGAGACTCTAACGGACTGTGCTGCGACTACCATCCACAAGGGGGCGTGGTCGCCACAGGGTAAATGTTATTTCACAGTTTGTTGTTTTTGAGATTTCTGCAGAAAAAAACGTCCGCAGACGCTGGTTTTCACTCTTGGTGAATTTAATTCATCTGTGGCAGCAGAACATGTTTCAGCCTTATAACATACTAACACTACATGTAACCCACAATGCAACGCTGTAACATGCTGCTGCTACTCTCTCAATTCAAAAGGAACAAATGACCGTTTTGAAGAACTATCCTTGTAATGACACGTGCTTCCTCTGCAGGTACTGTGCAGTGGTTTCTGGGCCTCAGGCTAAGTCACTTGTTAGCACCTGAGTGTTCTGATGGAAGTGAAACTCGAATCCCCACAGAAATTCACTGAAACACCAGGATGTCACTCAGTGGAACCCGTACCTCCACCAACAGTCCCAATATGAAACCACATTAAAATGCTCCAGATCCAGATTTTTATTTGGATCTGCACAAATTCATGAACATCAGTTTTTCATGAAGATCCATGAATCATTCTTTGAGACATAAAACGTCCAAACAAAGCAGGAAAATAAATTTCCTGGATCTATAAACTAAACTTAACCTCGTTCTCCAGCTGGTTTGCACGTTCTCTCATGTTTGCTCTCTCAGCCTCATGTTCACTGTAACACTAACTGCGTCCCCCCCCCTCCATCAGAACCAGAGACGGCCACGTGAGGTTCTGGAAGGTGCCCAGGACGGTGCCCAGCCTGTGCCACCTGTGCCGATCCATCCTGCGCCATTCGGTGTCCACGCACCAGCTGGAGCCGCTGCCCCTCCCCAAGAGGATCCTGCAGTACCTCACGTACAGAAACATCCCCGAGCGCCTCAAGACCCGCTGCTCCTCAGAGGAGGAGGAGCGCAAAGGTTAAATATGAACATTTCAAGTAACCAAACAATGCAACTGGTATTTACACTAAGTGATTATTATACACTGAACACTAATAAAATGCCTTTGTTTGCTGAGGTATTAAAAGTTGCTTCCACAGCTCGGCTCGGCACAGGAAGCAGCTCTTAACATCATCCACTTTAGATGCAACATTTACTGCACTAAGGATTTAATTTATTGCACTACTACTGTTAAACGATGCATTAACTCAATGTTCACATGCTTATATATATATATATATATGACTTGAATATCACACTTTTATACTGTTAATTTATTGTGTACATATATAATTTCTAATTCCTGTTTATCATAAGGGAACAACACACGACCTGCGACTGTACCTGCACATGTTTATTGTTAATATAAAAACTGGATTATATATAGGAAATAGTTTTATTAAACAGACTCAAACATTTACACGTCCCAGAACTTTTATTTTTTCCAGGGAGCATGGAATTTTACTCAGTTGACTTGCAGACTGGAGTGACTCAGACATCCGTGTTTTAGACATGTGACGTCCTCTCAGTCTGGAGAAGTGTTGGGCAGCGGACACGTGAGGACTTCTGTATTCTGGTGATTTCACAAAGGTTGATCGTTTCTCTCCAACCACAGCCTCACGGAGGGAAATAATTGAGAGGACGCTGTAAATCCTTCTAGAAAGAACCTTGAAGGATTTTGGTCAAACTGTTTAAAAGGTTTTAGTCACCTTGAAATATACAACAGGTAGTAAAGTAGGAAACGAAAGAGCAATATCTCATTGAGAAGTTTTCCAGACTCCTGCTGAGTTCTGGATGTAGCAGTACAGTGCAGTTGTTTTTCATTGTGGTTTAAACAGGAGTGCCTGTGGCCGCTCATCATTGAATATTTCCTTTTGTTCACGTGACTCTGGTTTACGTTCAAGAGACAGTTACTGGATCTACGAGGCTTCGCTGACCACCAGGTCTCTCACCGCCTGGAAAGCTGCAACCATGGAGCTCAGCTGGATCTTCTCATCGGTTCCTGAGGCGAGTCTGTGTCTGAAGAGACGACAACGCGATCAGAAACCAAGAAAATGAGACGTGGTGGCAGCCCCCGCTGAACATTTCCAGTTCATACAAGGATTTTATTTTCAGTTCATGCTTGTTTATATCTCACTTACTCTATGTCGGCCAACTTGATGAGCAGACCAATCCGGATGTCTGGAGGAAAGTCCACTGAGAATGGGGGAAAAAAACTAAAATTCAGATACAAAACTACTGAATTTGTACGACACTGTTTATGTGTTCAGGTTTTCTTAATGATTGAACATTTGTGTGAAAACGTGTGCGTCAGCTGCGGCCTCACCTCTGTGTATGAGCAAGTGAACCTCAGTGAGGATGTCGTGCAGAGCCAAACCTTTCAAGGTCTTCAGCTGAAGGATTTCTGTGAGGACGACGTTAAAGACTTAAAAACACAAGTGTCTTTTTAATTCAGTTTGAAAAGTTACTGCGTTTGAGTCTTTTTTTCTTCTGCACTTTTCATCCATTCCAGTGTCAAACAGATTTAGTCAGATTTAATTAGTTGCAAGAAAGAAATGTACTGAATATAAAGCTTCTTCAGGATGTTTCGCCCCTTTTCTGAATTCTACAGAATCAGACTAAAACTATATTTCACAGATTGATATGGTTCTACGGTTCAGCTCGCTGGCTGGAGGCCCCTGAAGGATACGGTTGTATGCTGTGGTGAAGTCTTTGTTGAGGGACCAGTCGAGGATGTTGGCAATATCCGAGCGGAGGGGGTGACCTGTGCAGGTGTAAACTGTGTCCTCTGTGACCTTCCCATACGCCATGCTGGTGCTCTGAAACCACGGAGACGGAGAACGGTCAGGCTGCTCAACCCTCAACCACTGATGCTTTAACGAACATCTCATGTTTAGTTTAGCAGATGTTTAAAAAAAAACACAATATAAATAATTAAAACATGGACACGAAGGCAGAATGATCGTGATGTCGTACCTGCAGGATGTTGAGAGATCTCCTCATATCACCTGACGATAGAGTCACGATGGCTTTCATTCCATCTGGAGTTATGTCAATGCTGCCACAAAAAAAAACTTTTTAATTAGTCTCAAACGATTGAATAAGTACTGTTATGTTTATATTTGCAGATTTTTATATTTACCAATATCTAAATATATATATGCACTGTAATGTATTGCTAATTGTGAAATCTTTGTATAAATGCCATAAACAAATCAGGTCCTGGTGACAGGTCTGCGTAATTTCACTGATCTAACTCAGTTAACTAAATTCAGGCCACTTTGCGTGACTCACTAGTTTTCTGACAGTAAAAAGAAAAACATGTTTTCAACTACACAACACACACACACACACACCTCTCCTGCTGGACCACATAGTCCAGTCGGGGAATCATCTGGTCTGGGGACAACGGGCCGAAGCGAAACCTGGTGCAGCGAGACTGCAGGGCCGGGATGATCTTAGACAGGTAGTTGCAGATGAGACAGAAGCGAGTGTTTTCTGTGAACTTCTCAATCACTGAGACACAGAGAGAGAGAGAGGGAGAGAGAGCACAAGTCAGAAAAGACCTAAAGCTGCAAACTGGCAATGAACAGAGTCTTTGTTCCCTCAAGTCAAAAGAAAGACAAAGTGTTCCAGTTTAAACTAAGACAACGGATCTTCACACAGGGATTTTTTTTAAATGAATATCAGGGTGTAACAAGACTGTAATTCACCAGCAGCCAAATTGTCCGGCTGCTCATTGAGCCGTGTGGCTCACAGTGGGCAACGCTCGGCCGAACAGATGGCTCACCTCGTCGCAATGCATTCTGGGCATCCTGGGTCATGGCATCGGCTTCGTCCAGTATCACCAACTTGAAGCCCTTCCTGGGGGACGAGAGGGACGGACAAATAGACGGTGTTAATAGCTCCTCCTGTGGTTATGAGTTGCAGATAAAGGAAACTCTAGTCTCACTTGAAGATGGTGCGTGTGCTGGCAAAGCTCAGGACGGGACCTCGTACAACATCTATACCTCTGTCGTCTGACGCATTTAACTACAAAACAACCAGAGATTAATATCAAATCACAGAAACAGAAGCCTTCACACCATACCGAATACAAGAACTTGTGTAATGTACCTCCAACACCATGGAGTTGAACTCTTTGTCCTTGTACAGCTGCCGGGCGCAGGCCAGGATGGTGGAGGTCTTGCCTGTTCCGGGGGGACCATAGAACAAGAGATGGGGGAGCTTGTCCTCGCTGATAAACTTCTGGACTGTGGACGTGAAACGGTGGTTTACAAAGAATACGTATGAGACATCAGACTGTTAATTCAGAAGGATGAAATCTGTGGTAGACATGAGTCAAAACATATTTACACATATTGAAGTTTTTAAGTTTAGTCAAACAAATGTCTTATAACTTCTTCATTTATATTTAAGTGCAATTTGGGTTCTTCACACGATAGATGTGACAAAACAATTATAAGTTAGATGCTGACTCATTAACCGTGTTGTCTTTCAATGAATGAGGTAAATATATGTATGACTGCAGGAGGTCCACACACTTACTGGTGCTCAGAATATCTTTGTGTGAGATCAGATCATCAAGTTTCTGAGGTCTGTACTTTTCAACCCTGGAACACGAAGCAGAAACACGTCGTTAATATATATATATATATATTGAAAATACTTGCTATTGCTAAATGACGCGTGCAGTATTTACTATGAATGCAGTATAATACAGTATACAGGTATAAATATAACGGATTAGTAACGTTAAACCATATCAGCACGGACCTCGTCTGGATTTCTCTATTTTAAAGCATCTTATTGATGTGTTTGGATGTGTATGTGATAAACGTAAAAAAACATTCACACCTTCACGTTGTTTGGGTGCCACTCTACAATTCGGCCCGCATATGTTTGCACCATACACAAATATAAGCAACACAATGTTCACTTTAAAACTCACAGCAGCTACAGCAGCTGCAGCAGCAGCGGCACAGGGATGCTAGCTGCGTTAGTTAGCGACCGTAAAGCTACGTAATGGCTGCAGATCCGTTTTATTCATCCACACAAACAAACAAACAAACAAACAAACAAACAGGAGGAAGATCTGAGGTTTTCTGTTATAACCTTAAAAACACGGTTCACTGCTCAGCACAGAGATCGACACGCTGCTTCCAGCTGAACTCACAGGGCACCGGGTTAGCTAGCTCGGGCTAACTGGCTGTGAACAGGAGTGCACTCACCAGGGGAGGTTCCTGGTCCGTGTCGCAGCTTTGTCCGCAGACGCCATGAGTCCAGTTCTCTGTAAAACTCGGATCCTGGTTGATGTTTTCACTCTTTCAGACGCTTCCTCTCTGTTTCCGCAGCCCTGTTTGGCGCGCTGCGCGACAAACCGTGCGTCACACGTCACGCCGTACAACCAATGGGACGGCTCTGTCTGCTCCCGTGGGCGGGGACTGTGTCAACATGTTTAAAAGAAAGTAAAATGTCAAAAATGAAAAACTTTAAATGTTTTTTAATAGTTTTGATCCAGTGTGGAAAACCATTTCTGAAAAAAATATATATTAGTACATGTTAAATAGAAATAAAAACATGTTTATAATAATAAAAATATGTTAAAGTGTAATTCATACAAGAGAAAATATTTAAAAGATTCAACTAAGTCTTTGGAGTTTGGACCTGATGTTGTTGATGCTGTATGTAGAGATGGTTCAGCACAGGTAACAGACATGAGTCATGAACAGTTCAACCAAAGACTCCTGATGTTTCCTCTGCAGCATCTTTAATCTAAGGGATATTGTTGTGGCCTGTGTTGGTGCAAATACCAGTATTTCAAAAGAAAAAACACAATTCATATAATAAGAATAAACATCTATCATAAATATACATTTCTTACCTATTTAATCATCTTGTGATCATTTAGATTTATCTTAGGGCCCCTTCAAAGCATCCTGACCCTCAGTGTGCCAACAAATCCCACAGAGAACCGTAAACCTCAATCAAGTAACACAAAACAATCACATGTTTGATTAATGTCATTTGCGTGTGTGTGTATGTGTGTGTGTGTGCGTGTGTGTGCCCGTGCACATGTGTCAGTGTGCACATTCAGTTGCATGTGAATTATAACAACCATCCACACCATCTCTCCCGTGCATGTGTGAGAGATGTGAGTGGACCTGGTGCAGGCCTGCAGACTGGAGGATCCCACCGCTCTAATCTCGCGAGATCTCCTCCTCTCGGCTGCCTGCGATGCTGTTGCTGTGGGTTTGATTGACAGGAAACATGTCGGTGTGGTGGGAGCGAACCGGGATGCTGCTGCTGCCACGGGAGACAGGGACCTGCATCCAGTCCTCTCATCAGCACCAGTGAAACCCACCGGGCTCCTCACGTCCGCTTATGATGCGCTGATCAGCTTTTTTATTTTTATTTTTTAATTATTATTATTATTATTTATCATTATTATTATTATTATTATTATTATCATTTCTAACATCCATTCGCAGGGGAACCCGATGGATGCTCTGGCGAACCCGCTCAGCATCCTCTCCACCTTGTGTTCGGTGTAGAGGCAGAGGCACCTGGATGAAACAGCAGGAACTACGAGGACTGTTGTTGCAATGGAGTCGACTCTCTCACGGCTCAAAGCTCGTCTGTAAACCCACAACATCTCGTTTCATGGCGTTCTGCAGGTCGCTCTGCTCCGTGGGCTCCTCCACGTCTCTCTCCTGAATTCTGTTCTCTCTTATTTCTTTTATTTTCGTTTCATTATTATTTGACGTGCAAAGGAAAGGGGGGGTGGGGGGTGGGGGGTGGGGGGGGAAAATAACGACCACTGCTCGACCCAAACTATGAACGAGGAGATGACAAAAAGCGAGGAGCAGCATCTGAGTTTGCAGAAAGCCTTGCAGCAGTGCGAGTTGGTGCAGAACATGATAGACATAAGCATTTCCAGTTTGGAGGGTTTACGGACCAAATGTGCCACATCCAACGACTTGACACAGAAGGAGATACGCACGCTGGAGGTAAGCACGGGTGTGATGGCTGAATCTGTGCATCTTCATGTGAATCGATACAGGGGGCTGTCACCGTCTCTTATTTATTTCTAGGCCACTGTGCATGTTTTTTTTTTCTCCCCCTCCCGTGCCTTGCTGCTTTTTCTGCGTAAATACGCGCAGATTTACGCCAAAGCCCGGTGCAATCTATCTGTTCAGTGCAGTGCAATAAATCAGGAGGCTGCATACACGGGGCTGCAGTGGGCTGTTGTAGACTTGCGCATTCTGCAGGTGGCGGCGAGAGAAGGTGGCTCTTCTCCATCAGAATAATATCTGAGGCCTGTAGGCTGCTGCTGCTGCTGCTGCCCGTGTTTACAATCCACCAGCAGCCTGCGCAACTGTCCGAGCCGCGCATCCAGGCCGCGCCGCCGTTACGCAAGGCGAGCAGATTAGTGAAATTGTTACCAAATGTCATTATCCGCGTAATTGGCCGGCGGGTGTCTTCCAAAACGTGCGTTACGTAACGTCCATCGCATCCAAGAGATGTTGTGTTAGACTGTGCGTTTTGCGGCCACTCCAACCTGCAGCCCCTCTCTGTGGCTGTGGCAGGGAATATAAAAAAAAAACCAAACACACACAAAATAAAACGCTATAAAGTGCGATAAGGTCTCTGGAAACTCAACCACCGAGCACCGAGGACCCAGAGGAGCGTGAAGGGCCGGTCCCAGTGTTTTGGTGATGACCCCAGGAGATAAAAACAAACAGCATTAAGTGAGATAAGGTCGCAATAAACTCACCACTGAGTGTCTGTGTGCACACTTTAAAGCCCCAGTGGGAATATCACTGAGATGTTACATAAAAACACAGAGAGAAGTCACACTAATCCCAGCCCCTGACAGGAATATGAGGATACAGTATTATATAAGATATAAACATATAGTAAAACACTCAGTGATGTGTCTGGTGGAGGTGTTACACAGACAAATGTACTGCAACATTGTTCATTTAATGCTTTAAAATCATCATGAGATTGTCTCATGATTTGGCTTTTTTTAAATGAATCCCTCAGATTTTCTTGAAATAATAAATACATCCAGATAAAACAGTCGAGTTAAAACAAAAATTTGAAAATCTTAAGCATTAATAATCATCATGTGCAGATCTGTACCAAAGCTCTACTACAAAACTGTGCTCCGTGGCAAAAGGGACTGGATGAAAAAAGTATTCAGAGGTTAAAGGAGGTCAGGAAGAAGAAGGATGCTGTTGTAACTTTTATTCCGGCTGCATGGTGACTGACTGCCCTGACTTTCTGTTGGGAGAACACAGAAGCGTAAACTGTTGAAAAGAAAAGATAATTTCACTTGTGCCATGGTTCCAAAGGGCAAAGTTGTATTAATGTGTTCCTAGAAGGAATCATCCTTTTAAAAGTATATGAACTTGTGCAGCCTGGACTCTTATTTGTTTAAGTAACTCTGCGTTGTTTTAGACTCTTGTCGAGAGCGGACGATGTTCTGAGGTGTGTGTGTTTATACCTGTTGAATTGAATGCTAGGGAATATACTGCTGTACAGATATTGTAGTTGTACATGAACAGTAGTGTATAAATACTGCAGTGCTTTTCAAAGTGCAAATACTTGTGTTTCCATTGATTTACACAGGCGTTGTGTTTAGTGAAACCACGTGCATGTTTAAAGTTGTATTAAACTTTAATCATTAGATTTATTTTTAAACACATCTCCTCAAAAAAGTGACAGTGATCCCACAGTGATCGACACTGAGCTGTTGATGAATACACTGTAAGTTCAGATGCTGAGTTTATTTAGACTCTGCTTGTCGTTGTTTAGTGCTCGGTAGCACACAATGAGCTGTTTGTCTGAAAACAGATGCCTGTTGCAGTTTCATTTATATATCAGTCATGATAAATATTTTATTTCTGATTGCTATGATTACAAAGTTCACATCTCTAGTGCCCCCTATGGTCCACATTCGCGCTGCGAATAGCAAAAAAAGACAACGGGATGTTTCCAGGGGACCAAGAAAGAGATGAACCTGAACCTGACTGTAGTTCAATGCTTTGTGAAATTATTGAAGTCTGCTACTCGTGTTTCAGTATCTGCACGTATCGTCAAATTGATAAAGTTGTTTTCTTAATTGCAACGTGTCTCTCTCCCGCCACGGTTCAGATTTACCATTCTCTCAGACAGTGATGCACCAGGACTAAAGTCCCAGCTTATGTTCCTTTGGAAGTTGGTCAAACTCGTTCTCTTTATAAATGCATAGAACTCTCATTACTTAGATTTGTCGTGGATGACCTGAAGCTCTGAATGAAGCAGTAACTAAAGTGAGAGATTTACAAAACAAGTTGTTGCATCTCTATGTTCGACTCTTCTGTGGCACCCTTTAAAATTAACTTCACATTAAAAGCTGTATGCAACTATTTACAGTGTTTAAAATACGATAATAATTGGCAAAGTTTTTTGTAAGTTTCGTCAATAGACAAATAATTCCAACGTGAATTCAGGTCAGAGTGAGATATTTTCATAGTCATGTTCTGTTGTGGGCTGCACTTCCTCTCTGTTGTTAAATTTAGGCTCCAATCTCTGAAACACATTTTATCAATATCTGGGAACAATAGAAACACGGCTCGTGCTTCTGCAGACATTTAGTATTGGAGGAACCGTGTGCACACATCAGTTTATCTGTTTGTGTTTAGAAATGAACTAACATGCTCATCAGAAAAGAAACGTGTTTTAAGAATGAGAACAAAGACAAAAATCACTCTCGACAATTAATTCACATGTGCAAAAAAGAAAGGAGGAGAATTACTCCTGAGAACCGTCTCATCTTGTTAAAACCCTCAGAGCCTTTCAGGGCGACCGTCTTCTTATTGCCTCGGCGACAAATGAGTTGTCCACCAGGGGTTTTCATCAGGATCACAATGACGTCAGTCGTACGCAAAGCCTCCCTCGTTAACCTGTCCTGATCTTTATTGAGTGCGGTGTCTATGGGAGATTCCTCTACGACACAGATGTCTTTCATCTCTATTATTAACTTAAAGGACCCAGATTGTGCCTCGGACATAATCTGTTGGAGGCGTGGAGCACTGACCCTGTTTTAGCCAACAGCTTCACCAAGAATAGCAGCCCATATCATTACCTGGATGTCGTGTTAATGCTGGTTCCCATTAATATGATTATGCATTGTTGGTGGTATCCCTTGGAGACGCTGGAATGATCAACGCACATGGTGAATGATCTGTTGTTTTCAGGCCTGCAGACACACACACACACACACACACACAGAAGCGTGACGTGCAACCCAGTTATGTATTTCATGTGAAAGAAATAATGGCAAGTGTTGTTTTTCCTTTATATTCAAGTATATAAAATGGGTAAAGGCTTTACAATGTTTATTCAGACATCAGCTTTGTTGCTTTAGATGTGAAACTAATGTATTTTTTCTGCTCAGGAAATCAAAGACTGTGAAGAGAAGCTCAAGCTCTGTTGTACGGGTTTGAGAAAGATGAGGCTGTAGATGAGAAGGTAGACATCACCAGACGATAACGAGAGAAATTCAAACCTTCCTTTACTTTACGCACACAGCGGGAATAATAGTGGCATTGATTGTCCGGCCGTCTGAGTTGTTTATGTTGAACTTAAAGTTGCTTCATGACACTTCCAGACATCATTTGGAGACGTTGACACACAGAACTCCAATATCCTCTGTAGCTGGTTTTGTTTGGTCTCCACCGATACGAGCTGCCGCAAAGTAAAGCTGTGGTCTGGACAGATGAACCCTGAGCTGAATCTCACTCTAACGCTCTGTAAAGCTGAAGGCTTATATAGATTTTAAAGAGTTGTGTGTTTGGTTTGTGTGATTAAAGGTGGAGCACTATGTTGTTGATGTTTGAGTAGTTGTGAAGTGTAGGTTATTGTCTTTTTGAAGATTCCTTTTTAAAAAGTATCCTCAGTTTACTAAGTTGTTGAAGTACCATTTGAATACTTCTGCTATAGTATTACTGTAATATCATATGAAAGAGCTTCCAGTGAAGATGTCATGTCTTTTACCTGCTGATTCTTACAGTGAAAACATTTTCTCTCACAAATGATGTGTTTCATAAATGATGAATTAGTAAAGTTACAGCTCAGAAGTGAATCCTAATAATAAACGAGCTCACTAGCAGCCAATGACTTGATGTTTTAAAGTCCGACATACAAACAGGTTGGCACATATTAAGTTACATGTCTTTTAGTTCAGCCTTTACTTCAACTGAAGTCACAAACCTTCGTTCACAGACCATCATGCTCTCGGTGGAACTTGCTTGATGGCGTCGGACATTTTTAATGCGGGAAAGTGCAGAACTCCAGTTTAACTGATTAGAGCGAGCTGATGTAGAACACACAGTGTTCATCAGCTTTTCTAGATTATCTGTGAGTGTAGCACTTGTGAAGGGGTCAGCTTGGCTCATGTCTCAAATGGGAATCGCACCATATGCTCTACTTCAGCAATCTGCTTAAAGGACCACTCCATCGTTTTAGATCATTTTTTGGTTTGACTGTGTTGTGAACGCGTCTCTGCAGAAATCCTGTGTTGCACATGTGTGAAAAGTAAACTACAGATAAACGCTGCAGCCAATTCTCCCGAGGTTACCCACAGGTCATGTCTGTGTATCATCTTCTATTCATGTGCAAGTCTCGTCTGTTGGTCATATTTGAGTTTTCCTTTTTCTTAGCTTCTGTCTCTGCTGCTGCAGTCAGTGGTAAACACAGGGATCATTTCCAGCTCGTGTCAGGCTCTTGTTAGCCTGTTAGCTCTAACAGCTTCTGCCTGCACACCGGGCCCACGGCACAGTGTGTTCAGCCCCTGCTTGTTTTCACCACAGCTTCACCAGACACTCGCCAACGGTTTGCTGGGTGTTCAGTGCAAACAGAACAAATTTTAAACAACGAATTAACCATTTACATTTCAAAGTTCTGTCCGAGACAAGTTTCATTTCTTCTTTCTCGTATGTTTAAAACTTCTGCAAGTTGATAAAGCCCTAAAACCACATGAGACTGAACCAGGTTAGTTTGGATAAAGAATATATTTTTTGCAAAAGACATATACTTGTGATGATAACCAGTTGTTGTGATACACAGTTGTTTGCCTACAGTCAAATATAATAATAATAATAATAATGTTATTTAGAGTAAATAATATATATGAAATTTACTGAAAATAAGACTTGTGCAGGACATGTTGAAGAGTTTATTGCCTTGAATATTTATTTTTGTAGTTTTATGTGATCATATTAGTTCTGAGGAGGTGAAACATCTGTGTCCGAACAGCAGAAACAAAGACAAACGTTTGTGACGTATAAAAACACATGATGATAGATAATAACGAGATAATGATGATTGAGCTGGTTTGTATAACACAGGTTCAGTGACGGGTCGGAGCTCTCTCCTCCGCTCTGAACTTACCTCTTCAATTAGCGACACATTTTTAATAACACGTAAATTAAAAAAAAACTAATTAAACAGAGCGTCTTCATAAAATGGATATTTCTGTTTTTCATATGATGAAAAGGTAGAAAAAATAAAAGCACCATAAACTAAAATATAAATAACATGCATGTGAATGTGTTTTAACAGATAGAAGAGACCGTTGTTCATATTTTCACCTCCAGAGGGCGACACTTAAAAGTTGAATAATAGATTTGTGCATCTCCTTGATCTGATGTCATTTCCTGTTTGGGAGATGAGGTGAGCACTGATCCACCTGTTTGTTTTTTTACCATGACACACACTTTGACTTTAGTCGTGCTTTAAACTTATTTTAAGATATAACCCAGGTCCCAGCACAGGCCCGGCCGTTTCATGCCCAAGCCCCCACCGAGTCCCTCCTTGCCCCAGCACCCTTCCAGACCTGCAGTGCTCCGGGTGACGACTTGGAAACATGTCACATGTGCACGTTCACTATTTGAATGACTCTGAGACAAGATGTGAAAATGAAATGTCTGAAAATGAGAATCTGCCTGAAAATAATCATTAGTAAAACTTTGATTTTAATCATAAAATGCATTTAAATAATGAAATCATCTTTATTTGGAAACTACACTTGAATAATCGTGTGTTAATTTGAAGAAATCGACTCACAGCAGTTCGACTAAAGCATTGACACTATTGTGCAACAGACACCATGTTCACGTGGAGCAGTTTCAGAGGCAGCGTCATTCTTAAAAAGAGTCTCCTGCCGTCGTCTTTTTCATTTCACGTCTTTGGTTCTTTGTTTTCTTTCCTGTCGCCGCCCGTCACGTTATCTGTGAGCACATCTGTGACCTTTGTGGTTCAAACACGCTTTGAACACGTGGATCACATCGTCAGATGTTTACATGTATTTGAAAGGTTGAGTAACTTAAACGGTGTCGATGGTCATAAGGGACTTTGTGCTCATGAGATGCTTCAGTTTGATAAAAAGACTAAAAGTGTGATGCTGAAAATGTAAATACGTCTGAATATATAGTGAAGTGTTTCTGTGTTTAGACACAAGGTCACTTACAAAAATGTTCAACGAAACATTTGCTAAACTACTTTTCACTGGTTGTTACGTTTCTTTCCAGCTCACTGGAACAAATGACAAATCATTTTACCGAAACATCACTGCTCTGTTCACTACAGTGTTTATTTCCCATATAAATCTATTAACCCGTGCAACCTAAAACAAGATTTACTAATCTTTCACTAAAATAATTTTCTCCTGAAATCAAATTTACACAAAAACAACAACAACAATAATTATTCTAAACTTTATTCACGAGCACTTTTCTTGAAAATGTTACAAACTGCTTTTACGTAAGAATATAAACGGATATGTTCAAGTACTGGTTTGTTTTCTCCACATTTGTCTGAACAGACGACGAGAATTGAAAAGCTGATGCACGTATCCACTCCCGTGTTGTGCACGCGGCCGACTCCTCTCTGCAAACACACCCTGTTTCAGTTTCCCACTGTAACCACAGCTTTCAGCCACTAACCACCGAGCCGCCCCAGTGGAGCAGACAGGCGTTAAGTGACCTCAGTGGTGGTGGTTGAGGTGGAAGAGATGTTTCCCTGCATTGATTATTCAGCTCGTTCAGGGATTTCTGTGACTTTGCACTAACCAGTGAACAAAGTGAACCTGTACGTTTTCAAAGATGTTTGGACAAACAGCAGAAAGCTTAATACAATTGAGGTAAAAAAGAAAAAGCAATATAACAAATTCCCAAATAAGTAAAAGTAGTAAAATTATAGAAATGCAATAGATAGAAATATGTTGTGGTATAAATAGTTACGTTAAAGGCTCTTTTAATTTAACTGAATTTATTTAAAAGCTGCAATGAACGAGGCATTCGGATGAAGATGCATCATTTTATGAAAAATAAGCAGTTATGAAGACTTTTTATTTTCACCTGTTTGATCTGAATCAATCTTCAGCGAACTTTGATTCTGTGCAGAGATGTTTAATCTGCAGAAACTAAATCTGAGGTTTTGCTTCTCTCGTCTCAGGGGAAGTTGGTGAAGTACTTCAGCCGCCAGCTGTCCTGTAAGTGCAAAGTGGCCTTAGAGGAGCGCAGTGCTGAGCTGGAGGACTTCCCTCGCCTCTGCCACTGGTTCCGCATCGTCAACCTGAGGAAAGAGGTCACGCAGGTGAGATTTCAAACTACTAAACTTTCCTATGTATGATCGTTATGGGCTCGTACTCAAATACAAAACTACCAATAAACCCTGACGTACAAAACCCGAGCAGAATCTTATTGATTTAATAATATAATTAATATATTGTCAATACATATTTGTGCTCTTTTTAAATAAATAAAAATGTGGTAACTGATATTAATATTGTAGCTCTGAGACACATACAAGCCATTACAAATACAAATTACAAAGTGGGTCAAAATTATATAATGGACATTCAATAATCTTCTTATTGCCTTTGTCCTTTCTCATCCCTTTAGTTTTACTCGTTACTATTCTTCTTACATTATTATTGTTCCTTGGTTATAAATTGTTGTATTCTATCAAAACGTTTGACTTGTTCTCCATGAAGAACTAAATACCACCGTTTAATTAAAGCTTCTGTTTTCAATTGAATTTCTTTTGCTCTTCAAATCGAATCAGAAACAAATGTGTCTGCACCTGTTGAATGGGTCACAAATGCTATTTAAATTTTTTTATAGTGTTTAAATTAAGTTTAATCAGTGAATCCAAACTCACCTTTAACTTCAAACCAAATGTTGCTCCACTTTAATATACTTCTAAAGATGTGTGTGTGTGTGTGTGTGTGTGTGTGTGTGTGTGTGTGCGCTGCAGGAGATGAGCCCAGGTGAGGTGACTCTGGAGGGTCTGCTGGACATGAGTGAGGAGCAGGTGTGTGAGCTGCTGCAGAAGTTTGGTGCCAACGAAGAAGAGTGTGCCCGACTCAACGCCTCGCTCTCCTGCCTCAGAAAGGCCCACCAGCTCGGTGAGGGTCACACACACACACACACACACACACACGTGAGTGAGTGGATCATATCAAGTTATCACACATTTGACAAACACAAAGTTTCTTTCCACGGTTCATGGATGAAAGTTAATAAAAGAAACAAACTTGTCTGGTTCAGAATTTAAAAACATTCTTTGGGTTTTTTCGCTTCTAGGTTTGAGTTTATATCAATAAGAACTTTTTAGAGATTGAGTTTCTGCTCTTTCAGATTTGAGATCTGTCTTCTGGATGTGACAAATGTCCCCAACATTGTCCCCTGCATCTTTAAACCTGAACTATTTGAAATTAAGATTAAGAGAGATGAGTATATGGTTCAACCCAAACACAGCAAGGGAAAACACGTCACAGAAAATTACATGTTTTATTAAATACATTCATCTTTATTTCTCTCAGTGAAGAGCAGGGATGCCCTGATGTTTTTAAGTTTGCTGTATTTTATAAAGGAGGGTCGTATCGAAGACATTTCTTTTTGTAGATTTTGAGATTTAATAAAGACAAAAGTCAGAATATTATGAGAGTACAGAAGTCTTCCTCCTCTTCTGGATTCAAATCTGGAACCAACTCTGAAAAAACTTTTTTGTTACCAACAAACTGTCAACCACTGCCAAACAGTTCCTCTGATTCCTTTCGTTTCTTCCTCTCTGAGTTTTTATAAAGTCTGGATACTCTTGATAATGTGTTGCTGATGTGACAGAAG